CTTTATACTTCTGGCCCGGAGTTTCTACAAACTTCTTAGCAGACTCAATGCTATCAAACACAGCAAATATTGATCCCTTAAATGCTTTGTGCAATGTTCTTCTCATCTGGATATTTAATATTTGACCTTTATCTTCTAGCCACTCTTTGATATCATCAAGGGTTGCATCTGTTGGGAAGCCTTTAATATAAACAGATCTGTTTTTTACATCGCTTTTATACTCATCAGTTACTTCACAGAGGGGTTTGTTTGGAGATCTTCTGATTTTAGTTTTATCTTCACTGATTTCCATGAGTTCTGCTTTAGATTTGCTCAATGCTTCTATTATTACATTGAAGTCTGTTGTTAGGCGGTTGAGCCTGTTGAATTTTATCATTATTTCCAAGGGTACCCAGTCTTCATCCAATTTGATCTGTTCCTTTAAAAATTTGTCCCGTGGCAAATTGAAGTCTCCAAAATAATACTCAATTTGATGACAGATTTTGGCCTCCAGTGCAGCCATTTTTTCATTATCACCATTTTCAGCCACTGTGGCTAATCTTTAGGGCCGTGGTCCCACACGCGCACCGCAGGCTCACCAGCAACCACGAGACTGCCCCACTCCTCAGCCTATATCCCCTTTTTTGTTTAGTTCTGTTATTTGAATATTATAGGTGTGTTAACTCAGCAAAATATTCTAAAAGAATCCAGTAGTTCATAATAGTACTGGGTCTTCCGCTTCACTGGCAATGTGAGAAATTGTTGACCTGAGTCCCCTACAGTTCAACATAACACCATGGCTTTACTTTTTGTATTTCGTTTTTATACTTTTCTGCTGGATGGTTAAGACCAAGGTAAAGCAAGACCTATGCAACAAGAGTTGTAGCTTTTGAGTCTCATAAGGTCAGTGAAATCCCCTCAGGATTTATCCTGAGATCCTGTACCTCAGATTGTAGATCCTTTGTCAGTGTCAGAATACACAGATTTATAATGGACATGCCATAAAACTATTATATATAGGTATTGTACTTACAGTTTCCTCAGAAGAGTGTGGCACCAGACCCTTAAAGTCTACCTTTCTAATCCCAATTCTAGGGACATAACCTGAATGATACATGCATATATATTTGATAAACGGATATATTGGTCTTTCTCATCAGGTCACATAAATTAGAATAAAGTCATTATAATGTTTAACTAATTTTAAGAAAACCTTAATTCATGATAGTAGATATTTCCATTAAGTCTTTAATTTTATAAAAATAATTCTCAAAGTTTTCTGAATTTACTACATTGAAAAAAAAGGACATGGTATAATTTTCCTATTGTTGTACTATTCAGTTACCTTGCTTATAAGTTATCAATGAAATGTCTACTATCAACCCCCCCCCCAATTAGGCAGTTTTTTCTATGATAGTTTCACAAAGTACTCCAAAGTAGAGAACTTGAGGGCCTGCCCCTTAGCTCAGCTCTTTAAGTGCCTGCTTCAACAAAGCAGTCAGGTTCAGGTTGCTGTGGCTGATCCCCAGAACTCAAACCAGCCAAACCTGCCCTGAAGGCATTCGGAGCAAAGTAGAGAACTTTTTTTTTTTACTAGCAATACTGTTCTAACACAAATTTAAATGAAGCCATGATTATTTTTTTTTCTTTCTGAGATGAAAATAGTGTTAAATACCGTGTAACAGTAACAAAAATAAACTAAGTGGATGCAAAAATTCTTTAGTTCTAGCTTTATTTTACTCAAAGAAATTAGAACAAAGAAAAAAAAATATGACTTTTCTAGGGTTCACAAAGACTTCATGGATGAGCTCAGGCTAGAAACACTTAATGCTCTTTCCACATTTCCTTCGTACGCATTCGTATACACATAAGCGAGCAGCACTGCTAATGGAAAACACCATCTCTTGATGCTAAAATTACACATCTATGAGAAGATTATAAATGCAAAAATGTTAGAAAACCATGAATCTAGCCAGGTGCAGTGGTGCACACCTATAATCCCAGCCTGTGGGAGGCTGAGGCAGAAGACTGCTGCAAGTTCAAGACCAGCCTGGGTTACAAAGTGAGCTTGAGGCCATCCTGGACTGCACAGTGAGATCCTGTCTCAAAAAGCCAAAAGTTAAATTATATTAAATTTAAAAAGAAAAACATGCATCTATCACTTACTAACAACTGAGGTTCACGATTTTCATCCACTGCTGGAAGTCCAGTTATTATTTCCAATAAAACCTACAAAGACAAAGGAATCTACTGATATAACAATTAAGACCACATATAGAAACCAAAGGAATACAGGATTTTCTTTTCTTTCTTTTGTATTTAGGATAGGGTGTAGAGGGTGTTCAGGGTCTCAAGCGTAGATCAGACTTGTAGTGATCCTGTTTACAGCCTTCCAAGAGCTGGGATTACAGGTGCCCAGTCTCAATAGCAGTCTCAGAGTACCCCAGGGGCGAGGCCAGCGTGGCAGGCCTGGGTATCAAATTAAGCAGGTGATTTAATCCACTGGGCTATTTGGCCGGCTCTAGGATTTTCAAATGTTTTGTGGTGCTGAGGATAGACCCTGAGTTACACCCCCAGCCCAGGAAGTTGGACCTTGATGATGAACTTTGAGCAGAGTTTCTGCACAGCACATGCAGCTTCTAGGAGATAAGTTCTGGCCCTGGTATGAATTGCTGAATTATTATGGTGGTTATCTAACACAGCTGAAGCCCTAAAAAACAGCCTACCTTCCCAGAGACCACCACCCCTTCTCCAACTCAACCCAGAGTGCAATATCCTCTCATGTTTCCCACCACCACAGGAAAGACCCAGTCAGCCCCTCAGGTATTTCAAACTCCACCTCTAACAAAAGGCCACAATAACCTCAGCTTTGTCTCCAACCAGCAGATCTACCTGACCCATCTGCTCTCGATCGTCTCCATGTCTTTGGAGCTAATAAAGGCTTTTCTTGTATCTTTCCTATCTCTTTACTGTGCTGTTGAAACATCTATCACTAGGTATGGACACAGAGGAGCACGCACCGGGCACCCCTGCGCACCTAGGCTCACCTACACCTCACGGCCCAGCACGTCCTGAAGCTTTCCTTCGCTGGGGACAGACTGCTAGAGTACCAGCTCCACTCGGCAGGTACTGTGGAGACTCTCAATCCTTTCCCTCTTTTGTAGTGGATTTTTCACAAGAATAATTTCCTGTGTTCTAGGAGAACACTATTTTCTAAACAGGCAAGTTCTGAAACACTATGCTTTCCCTGGCAGTGCAGTGAGGCTGAATTTCCATACATGGGACATATGTGAAAAAAATAAGATGAATTAAAAAATTCTTTTTTTTTTTCCAAGCACCCACATCTATCCTTTTGTCTTAAAAATGTTTAGGAACAGACTCTTGCATCAGAAATGTTAAAAAAAAAAATCAAAGACTAAAGTATACATTGTATGACATCAATGCTTTGATTTAAGCCTTATCCTGCTTCATGAAGCTAGGTGACAGCAAAATGATTTCCTGAAGTAATTACAATAATCAACTAACATGTTTTATATATTGGAGCTCTTACCAACTTTCTAGTGTAGCTAGAGGTCAAAGTGAAAAAACAATATATATATGAATATGAGAGTGGAGCAAAAAAAGTGTATTTAAGTCCCACCAAATAGCTCAGTGGATTAAAGCACCTGCTTAGGCAGAGGCAGAGACCGGGATTTGATCCCTGGCATGCCGTGAGATGGCGATTAAGACGGAATGATGGCGCGCACCTGTAATCCCACCGCTTGGGAGGCTGAAAACAGGAGAATCACTAAGTCCAATCTGTACAGTTAAGACCCTGTAGACCCTGTACTAAATACAAAAGAAAGAAAGAAAAGTATTGAAATACTCCATTTTTATTTCACAATTGCAGAACAGTGGCTATCATAGGTTACTCACCACACCAAAGCTATAGATGTCAGACTTGGGTGTTATCTCTCCTCGCAGAGCTTCAGGTGCCATGTAAGCTGTCGTGCCTACAATCCTGCTTGTCATGACTGTCTGGGCGAACTTCTCAGAAGCTCTTGCAAGCCCAAAGTCGGATATTTTGGCAGTGAAGTCTTTATCTAATAAGATATTTGCACTGAAAAAATGTAAATTTTGAAGAAATGGTTTTCTTTGCACATATATTTATGCTTTATGGCACTTTATGGTAAATATGAGAGACTAAAATTTGTACATAAATCAAGAATTCAGACTAGAGCTAAAGAAAATGACTGTTTCCCTTTTTGTTTCATGAAGAACATCTGTAAGAGCCAAAAGGAAATAAAGCCTTCAAAATGAGAGCTACTTCCATCACTCTACACAGACTACTCACTAGGGAAGACTCCTGTCGTCTTCCAAAGCAGCATTTTTCTTTTCTTCCTTCCACTTTTCCTTTTTTCGTGTCTGTCCGTCTGTCTGTCTCTCAGCCTTCTTTATGCTAGGCAAGTGCTTTACCACGGAGCTATAGCCCTGGCCCCAAATTATCATTTTCTCTTTTTGAATTTTATTATTTTTATTAAGATATATTATTTGTACGTTATGGAGTACATTGTTGTAACTCAATACATGTATACAATGTAATAAATCAGGGTGAAAATTAATTATCTTTTTAAGCATTAATAATTTCTATGTGCTGAGAATTTCATAGTCTTCTTTCTTGGTCATTTTCACTTATGTCACTGAGTTATTTTAACCAGAAGTGTTTCCAAATTCCCATGTGTTTTGGTGACCTTTATGAACTTCTTTCTCTTCGCCCACTGTGTTCTTCCCAGAATTCTGCACTGTTTTGTGTTACTCTTTCTGTTCTGCTCTGTTATATTCTAGTTTCTATAAGACTGAGAATATATGGGTTTTTTTAATGTTTGGCTTTGAAATATGCCAAAAATACCATCACTCAATTTCTTTTTTTTTTTTTTCAATTTATTTAAAACAAATTTCAAAAGTAACTCAATTATTCATTTGCTCAAACTATTATTTTCTCTGTGCCATCTGAAATCTTGTGAAGAGGAAAGACTATGGATAGAAAATCTTAATTTACTCATTATATATGTTCATTTATACATTCAACAAAATCTTATTGAGCTCCAGCTGTACTGTAGTATTTAAGCGCAGAGCTAAATAGGGAAGAAAGTTAAGAACCCTGTCTGTGACAAATGCATATGAATAAGTTTTTAAAAATTAGTAAGTACTACATGATGGTAATGTTTGGAAAAAAAATGCTGAAAGAAAAATGTGCCTGAAGGAACCAAAAACTCTGAGGAAGTGGTGGAAAGTAGGCTTCAGCTTGAGGAATAGTAGAAGCTGATAGTCAGATGATGGCTAAAAGGTATGTCAGGCAAATGGACCTAAGTGAAAAAATCACATGGTGTATGCAAGAGTCCACAGAGCTTACGGAGAGTCTGAGCTCCATCCTCTGAGCAACAGGGAACCAGCTGCAGTTTTCACTGAACATAACTGATGTTGCTGGACTTGGCGCTTAGGACCACAGCCTGGCAGTGTTGTAGTGAACAAACAAGACGCGGTATGGACTAGCGTTAGGTCGACCATAAGGTATATAATGAAGCCAGCCACAGATAATGACGGTGTGCCTCCTACACAAACACAAAACACTGGGCAGGAAGAATAGGGGAGACAGTGTGAGTGGTGACTTGTTTTGAACAGAAAGAAAATATAGAAAAAAAGACTGAGGTGAAGAGATGATGAATTGGATTTCCAAGGTATTGGCTTGAAGACCACGCAGGGGCCAATGAGGTGAAGAGTGTGGAACAGGACACTTAAAATACAGGACATGGGTGATGAAACTGATAGGAGAGCCACCTAGTCACAGGGAGCAGCCCAAGTTGGCTGAGCAAGAAGACGTGGAAGGACAGGAGACGTGAAGGCAAAGCATGACAGGACAGCAATGACGCTTCCCTGCCTTTCTGCACTCAGCCCCTGGCTTGGGTCCTTCCTGCATCCCTGGAAAACTTCCTTTATGACTTAGCTCACTTCTTTTATTACATTCTCTTCCTCTTATCTTCCTCTTATCTGGATCCATCCCATAAACACATAAAGTTGATCTCCGTATTCCCTGTCTGACCTTGGCGTATATATACTTTCTTTTTTGGATTATTTTCTTCTCCTTCACCGTTAAGTCTAGGGTTCCTTAGGCCTTAATCATGGGCCTTTTTCTTAATCTTTAAGTACAATGATGTAACTCAATTATCAAGCAATATGAGCAATATACACATTTATATCTTCAGCTCGGATTTCTCAGCTCCAAGCCTGCACATCACATTAACAATTTCACTTCTATATCTTAAGACACTGACACACAATCTATACGAAAGAAAATTCACGCTTTGCTGCCCCATCCCTTTCTATGTAAATGATTTCATGCCAACCTCACTGCAGACTGTACTTCTGGATGCCACAGTTCTGGGAACCGTCCCAGATATGCTGCCCCATAGCCGAGACCTTCCTCGGCCCCACTGTACTCTTTCAGAGCTCCCACGTCTCTGCACGTGAACCGCCATCAACAAGATGTCTGCGACGGCCTGAGACCTCCTTGCAGACAGCTCTCAAGTCCACATGCTCTTCACAACATTTAAACATGACACCACATTCCACCTTTTTGTCAGCATTTCACTATACCTAGAATGAAACTAAGATCCTCACTCTGGTCCACCTGGTCCTACAGGCACAGTCTGTCCTAGCACTTCCCCTCCATCACCTGCTCACTCTCTGCACACCGTTCTTACTGCATTTACTTCACCTCTTGTAACCAATCACGTTCCCCTACTCTCTGTCACTATGGTCTTACAAACACGGTCGGTCCCCTCTGCCTGGACCGTTTTCCTACCGGTCTGCTGTAGTCACTCTCCAGGTGTGCCTACTTACTTCCCGCTCATTCTTTGGCTTGCAGCTTAGGTATCCCTTCGCTGGAACTGTTCTTCACACTAATACCAAGCTTGCTTATTATTTTGTGATTTGAATGACGTCAAACTCTACACGTGCTGCTGCACCTCTTGTCTGAGAACCGGAAGTACTTAGAGAGAGTGACTATGATTCAGAAAATGGTTATAATGCGGAAGCTAGGGAAGAAGCAAATTCTCACAGGCAAAAGCCCCACCAGAGTCAAGTAGGATGATGACTAGAAACAGGTAATGGGAAGCAGGTCACTGGGTTTAGAACAGAGAGGATTACAAACGTCCTCTAGCCATGGGGAAGAAAAGTCTAGCTGCTTTAGAAGTTAAGACAAATATATGAAGAGTAAATAGAGAGCAAACTATGCTTTAACAACAGCTTTCCACAGAAACACTTACCTTTTAATATCTCTATGAATGTGATGGTTTTCATGTAAAAAACTGATTCCATTAGCTGCGCCCTGAGCAATCTTGCATCTCATGTGCCAAGAAAGTGGGGGGGTGTTATCCTTAGGAAGGAAGAAATGAACTTAGCAAAAGGGGGATGAAAAAGATCTACATAAAAATATATACCAGCATTTTTCTAGGTAATGACCAAAAATGATAATATGGCACTAAGAACTTAGGACTATAATTTTTTAAGTTGATAAAAATAATTTCTAAATAAGATCAAACGGGTTAACATTCATTATCTGAAGACAACCACCTTACAGTCTGGGCTTGGCTGACAGTTTTGCGTTTTAAATCCTTGCCTAAGAGACCGACAATCCCAGTGGTTTGCATAAACATGGTCAAAGCTCACAAAACAGGAAACATATTAAGGTTAATGTGGCTTATGTGATCTTGTCACAAAGTAAGGGTTAGTATCTCAACACTCAGAAAGAAAGCTAAACAACCTTAGGAAGAAAGTATCTTACCAAGCAAGACAGCCTGTCTAGCAAGGAGCCGTTGGGCATATAAACATACACTAAGCAGAGATCATCGCCGTCACTTGAAAATCCAAGTAGTTCTACTAGGTTTTCATGCTGGCACCTGTGACAGATAATGTTACAGGCATTACTCATGTCATGAATGTATATTCAGCTGTAGGTTAAGTTATTATTCAGTTGAGAGAAAAAAGGGAATTTAGATATCACTGATGAGGCAGGTGGTCCATGTTTATGCTTATACCTTTACTGTTCCTATTTATCCTTCTCTGTAAACAGTTCTTTTTTCAGTAATCAGAAGCAAAACGTCTTTCAATTTTATAGGCAACACTCAATGTTTGAAACCTTGAAACCTGTGATAGTTTGCTTAGGGACTAGCCTGACGTTTATCTCTGCTTAGCATAGTTTTTCTTTTAAATCTTTTTATTTATTTGGCACAGGGTCTTGCTACACAGCTTGGACTCATAGTGATTCTCCTGTCTCAGCCTCCCCAGCACTGGAATTACAGGTGTGTGTGACCACAAACGGCACAGGTGTGCCCAGGGTTCTGGGGGCAGGATGGCATGTAGTACCAGGGATCGAACCTGGGTCCTTGTGCTTGCCAGGCAGGTGCTCAGACTGCCAAGCTGTCTCCCCAGCCCTCAGCACAATTTTTAATGATTATACAAAGATAATTCTAGAAAGTGTACTGAAACTTATAATACTTTCAAGAATTCTGCAACATGTTAAAATACTCTCAAATAAAGTCTAACATGCTCAAAAACCTTTATTCACATCAAGTTCACCCATCTCTGATCTTTAAGCATATCTGATTATCTATGACTTAACAAGCTTTTAATACATTTGAGAGTAATAAAATTAAAGAGAGATGCAGTTTCACAGAACTACAGACATCTGTGGACACCATGGCTCAGAGTACAAAGCCCTAAAGTGAAAGCCACCCTGCTACTTCTTGGATGTGTGACCTCACTGAGCCTCTCTGTCCTTCATCTCCCCAGCATAGAAAAGATATCACCCACTATACATATCCTGCGGGTGCTACAGGAATTACATGAATACATATATGTGAGGTGCATGAAGAACAATCCACTCTGTGCTTATTCACTCTATTTACTCAAAAGTGATCTAATTCTGACACTGCTTTTTACCAAATCTGGCTTCCTCTACCCACGCGTTTGAGAAGTATAAACTGAAGGAGTAAGTGCTCCATTTGACACCAAGTTGTCATATTTTAAATACAAGCCATTCATATTTTCTGATTTTGTACTACCTATGAGGTCCTCTGATAATTTACCTGGGTTCACTGCATCTTCACAACAGGGTACAACTGTTATCCCCTTCTAAAGACGAGGGTCAGAGAGATAGCTCAGGTGGCATCAGTGTCCGCCCAGCAAGTGCAAGGGCTGAGTTCCAGCCCCACTACCACACACACAAAAATTGAATAAATTTGAGAAGACTAATGGACAGAGTTAAGAAACTTGCCCAAGGTTATTCTCCAAATGAAGTCCAGGGACTGGCACTTATTAAAAGATGGTAAAACTTGGCTTCAGTGGTGAAAATGTGGTAGTGAGGATTGACACTGTAATACATTGCTGAAAGAATATACATGGTCATCCTCAGGCCCTGGGGCGCAGTTCACTGGTCCAGCACGCGCTCTTTGTGCACAGGCGCTGGGATCAGCCTGTGGTATAAATTAATATCTACGAAGCAATTTGAACATATATTTGGAAAGACTCTGAAAGCTCACACATTCTGAACCTAAGAACCTTTGCCTAGGACGTTATCTTGATGGAATAAGCACGAGTGCACTGAATGACTTATACACCAAGATCTTTAAAGGAACTTTAATTTGCAATAGTGAAAGCTACAAAAACATTAAGGTCAGCCAAATGTGATCTTCATCTGTGCTAGAATGTTGTTAATGATTTTAAATGGGGCCGGGGAGATGGCTCAGTGGAATAAGCGCTTCCCTGACAAGTGCAAGGGCCTGAGTTCAATCCCTAGTTCCGCAAATAATTTTAAATGTTTTCAAATTGCGTTTAATGACATGGGAAAATGATATATACTTATACATGTGGAATCAAGCACATCAAACTATAGTTATCTCTGAGTGAAATATTTAAGATATGGTTTTTATTATTTAAAATGTATTTTCCCATATTTCCCAAATTATCTGCTTTGAAAAAGTTACTTTTAGAATTAGCGAATGGTGGAAGGGAACACAAATTCTGGAAAAAGATTTCGATCTGACAGTGTGCATCACTTTTATGGAGGTAAAACAACACCAGCCCATGAATTATTTCTTGAGGTTATGTAACTACAAGCGATGGCTTACAGTACCACAGCTGTATGGATATAATCCGATTAATCCTATTGGGATCCAGACTCTGGCATCAGGTCTAGATTGAGCCCCATCTCTAACACTGCTGGCATTTCATGGGCAAATTATTTAACACTTCTAGATCTCAGTTTAAAAAAAGCTAGAGGTTAAAACAATTAAATAAATGCACAGAAAGTACCTAGTATTGTGTCTAGTATGGGTATGCACTCAAATATCAATCACTATGATCACTAAAATACCTTTCCTGGTTTGCTTTGATTTTCCTATCCTTCTTCTGAGGATTAATACCTCAGTATTGTGGGTCAATGCTTTCTAAACATCTGCACATATAGGAGTTCTCCAGTTACTTTACAAGTGTTACCTTACCTGAGGACCTGTTATTCTATAGATTTTTCTTTTTAATCAATTTTAAGAATCTCTACAATTGATTTCTCATGAATTCTGGGAGAAAAAAAAGTAACTGAAAATAACAGAAATTCTATATAACATTACTGTGACTTAAAATATTGCTATTAATATACAGGCACAGGAGTATACACAGGCATACAACTGAAGAGCTCATGTTAGTACTTTAACCATTATACATCTGTATTTGCAAAGGTCCCTAGTTCACAAAAGTAGGCAACCAGGTTCTGGCACCTTGTCCTGTTCTTTTGCCCTACACCACACTAAGAGTTAACACTTACTTTGCCATTACTTTTATTTCTTGATCAAACTGCTGTTTTAGGTCTTCAGTGCTGATATCAACCATCTGAAAAAAAAGTATCATACAACATTGCACAATGCAATAATCCCACGATTCCTAAAGCTGAAAGGGTACTCAAGAGAAAGAGAACTGACCTGTTTTCTTTACAATAATAAGGCACTGTTCCCACTTGACAGAGCTCTAGACCAATGAATGATTCACTCAAGGTCCCTGGTTTGTCAGTAAATAGAAAAAATATAAATCTCGCTGAATTGGTGCAAGGTTGTTGGAGTAAAATAAAATAGTACAATTTTCCCAATTTTGGGGGTAAAAATCCAGTAAGTAGAAGAGAAGCAAATTATAAAAAGAAAACCAAAACTTGCAAAAATGTTTGCAACATCTATGACAAAAAGTGACTTACAGGTGTACACTATAAGAATAAGCTTACACTATAATAGATCACTAAGTATAAAGTGAGAAGCTCAACAGAAATGTGAAAAGACACAGATGAAATCTTTTGCTCTGTTAATGTGTATTTTCCAAAATTTTCAAATAAGTAATGCAAATCTACTTACATAATTGTTTTTAGCATTTTTACTATTTTAATCTTGTTATATGAAGGCACTGTTAGAGGAGATATTGTCAAGTTTATTACATAAATCTCTCAAAATCATATGATCCTAAGTATGTGTGTGTGATTTCACTTTTTTAGGACAGTTTATAGCTCTCAATGGATTTGTAAATGTTGAGAACAACCAGCTACTGGTTGTTATTATTATAGTGTTTATTTAAAGAGAGCACATTCTGAGATGTACTTCCTAGAGTAAAGCTTTCATCATGAATTAGGCGACAACTCTTTCACCCCTGGAAATGTCACTTACTGCTGCAAGCTTCTTCACAGCCACAGTTGTGTTGTTCACACAGCCTTTATACACAACTCCAAATCCTCCCTCTCCCATTTTATTGCCACCAACAGAAATAGGCCGCTCATCAAAGTCATTTGTGACATTCTTCAATTCATAAAATGAAAAACAATGAAAACCTATAATGTCAATAAAATAAGGAAAAATGTTTAAAAAGGAAACTGGTTATAGTAATTCTGCTACTTCCTCGCTTTGAGGATTTCATAAACATGTATGTCCTACCTGCAAATATAACTTCGGGCAAAGCAAGACAGAAGAGAGTTACAACCATGTTTAAAATACAAGTTGTGGCCTTTATCGTGAGAACTCTGGTGCTGTCATCCACCAAATTCTGTACAGAGCCACCTGCCCGAAATTCTAACAAGATATTGGTGAATCCACCCCATTCATCCAAACTCCAGTCTCATATTTTCTTTTTATAAAAATGACCATTGGAAGTTATATATCTACTTATTTTTTCTTAGTTTCTGGGTTGTCTGCATGTCCTATGGCTTCTAATCGCTGATGATACCATGATTAATGCAATGAAGATAGTACTTAAAAAATAAGAAGGAAAAACCCCACAAGCGCTATTGCCAGTGTGCTTCTGACTGCTTGAAAAAAAAAAAAAAGGATTTACTTTATAATGGTGATCACATTAATGACTAATCCTCTCGAGGAAAGTGCACTAAATGGGGTACTTACGAGTGTCACTACCTTCTACACTTCTATTTTCTGGACTTGAGGAGCCAGAAGAGGTACAGTTGTGGTTAGGACTCTGTGCAGGAGTCACGGGTACACTGCCTTTTTCGCAGAAAGGCGCGTGCTTCTGCTGAACTGTGACAGCTTCTTTAGATGGTAAAGTAGTAGCAGGCTTGGGAACAGCATCTGCCAAAGGGAATAAGGTATTAAGTTGTCTTCACACAGACAAAAGTGCTTGTGAAAAAGTTAAGCCAGGAACTCAGTTCACTGAACATTTCTGTTCGTCTCACAGCACAGAGGCAGCAAGCTAGTCAAAATTTGTCACCTGTGATAAAGCTGGGTAGAGTACGGCAACACTCACAAGAAGTGGTCATAAGCCACCTGCACCACAGGCGTTGACATCCTTGATTAAGAGCATAGTTGCTGAAGCTAATTCCAGAATTCTAGTGCAATACAAGGTTGGAAGAGGCCGGGATTCTGTCTACACGTTTAACAAGAATACTTAGTGATTCTTATGTACAACAAAGGCTGGAAATTACCGATGACATTACGGAGATAGAAAGTAAGGTTATGAGGAGGACAACTTAACTAGACCATACAGAATGCCACACAGGGAAATCACGACCAGAGTCCTATGAGTGCGGCACTAGAAGGTGGGGAAAAAGCCCCCGACAGTAACTAATTTCTTCAGGCCTACACTACATGTCTGGGCTTCGTATCCATCTAAACTTCCTCCTGGCCCCAAGCCACATCTGACTTTAATGGTGGATCAGATTCTGTTATGAAGCTGCCATCACCTTAGCAGCAGAGTCCTTCAGCTTAGTGCTTGCTAAAAAGTAGAGACAGCTGAAAGGGACTCAAGTGTCAGGTCTGTCTACTAAGAGAAAAAAGCAGTAAGAAGGAACTTCTGTTTCCTCTATCTTTCTACCCTAAATGTTGACACCCTGGTCACACCCAGTTTACCTGGCAGCAAAAGACTCGCAGGAGCAAAGAACTCATTTTGGACCAAAATATCCACAAGATCAGCCACGGTGCAGTTTGTGGTACCCCAGTCAAACAGCAGTTCAGAAGTGGGACTTTTTCCAGTTTGAATTAATGCTTCAAATCTCCTTAAAATCAAGTAACACAGAAACAAAATTAGCATATAAGGAATTCACATGAGAACAAGAATGTAGTCCCTCTGTGTGTTGTTAGACACTTTCTGTAATGTTAAAGGGACAGCAGAACTAGCACGAGTTACGGTGAGGCAAGAAGGATAGGTAGAAGAAAAAGATGCTCAAGACAGTGATGCAAATTAACACTGACTGAGCACTTAGTCTCCACAGGGAACTGCAGGACGCACACACATAAACTCCCATAAAGACAGTTTGATTATTATACTAATTTCCTAATGAGAGAGCCAGGTTTGGAGGGGCCATAGACCCACACATACAATAAGGTGGTTCCAAGTTAAGGCACAAATTCGGACCTCTCCTGACTTAAGAATGTGCTTCTGTTGAAACTATACTTCCGATTTGATGTGAAACTGTCTCACTGCTGTTTATCAATAAAATTGTGAGAAAAAAAAAAAAAAGAATGTGCTTCTAACTTACTTAGCAGTATTATTTTCTATTTGACTTATTAACTATTAGCTATAAAATTTTTAATAAATTAGCTGGCTTTTTAAATAGAATATATATAAACTTTGGAAACTATTCCTTTGATCTTAACTGTATTTAATTAAACTGAAGTAAAAGCAGATCCTTTTTTCCTTCCTTTTTTTTTTTTAAAGTAGCACTTAAGAACTTAACCAACATAGCTTAAACTGTTTTTCCTCCAAATTTTTTATTTGAAAAATTTTAAATTTGCAGGGAATTTGGAAGCATAATACAAGGAAAACTCACTTACCCTTCACTTTTTTCACCAGTTGTCTAATGGGTAATTTGTTTCCTCTCCTCCCTCTTTCCATTGTAAATATTTACCTCACTACTTTCTCATGACCAAATTCAGATTAAAATTTTTCTTAAGAACACTACACAGAACACAATGTGATCTTCCTAGGGTATTACATCCACAGGCACAAAATAGCATTATGTACTGTTGGTGACACTAAGTTTGACCTTCTAAAGCTGTGTATTTCAGATTTCTTCATTAGAAAGAAACTTCATTCCTAATTAAGAAACTGGATAATATAGCGAAATCTTGAGCGTGTCCTGTCCATCAGCAACACCTTACGCCCACTGATGAGCTTTGCATGAATCAAGTATTCACTGCTGGTAGATAAGTGGCAAGCTTCTCATTCCACCAGTGTTCTAACCATCATTTGCTGGCATTATTCTGTAAAAAAGAGCTTTTTTCCTTCTTCAAGCCACTGCCACAACTATTCTCTATAAATCTGAGTAGTAATAGCAACAATCTTTAAAAACAGGCTTTCACCTTTTAAATTTTGAGGTTCTCTCAAGTAATTCAAGAGGTTTACCCTCCATATATGGTAATATTTTCTAGAAGGCCTAATGAGAGAAGTAAGACTTTAGGTTCTTTACCAGGTTAGGGCTATAAAGAAAAAGACTTTTTATGTTTCTCTTGTTATCAGAAAAATTTTGACGTATTTGCTTCAATGACTGATAAAAATAAAATTTTTGCTTACATTTTTACACTAAATCAAGCAGAGATTGCTAGAGAAAGACTGACAATTATCCAGATGGTGCTGAAAAATTCTGGCCAAGACCTAGCCAGTCTGTCCATAAACATGAACACTTACAGGCAACAACCATAAAATGTCAATCTGAAGAACCTCCAAAAGGTATCGTTAAAGGTACATTAGAAATTTACACTTAGAAACTTAGGCACCAGAATTTAACTAGAGATTTTTACAACACTGTCCCGCATCGTCCTTCAAAGTGTAAATGCAAAGTGTGAGGTGGAACAAACTGGTTTTTGCTTGACAGAGAACAAGAGCAAAGGTGGGAATCTTGACTAACTCAAACACTTAATTGCAAGATCACAATATCAGTCTTTAACATCAGATGGTTCTTATACCTTGATCATTCTCATGATATAAGAACCTAAAAAGAAATTTGTTACCTTATGTGAAACTGGTTGTATCTGTCATCACCAGATGGTTTTTTAATAGCGACAGCTAATTTCTTCCACCCTTCTTGAGGATCAATAAAATCTGATAGCTTCCTAATTAGCCCAACATTGAGGCAGCGCACGTACGTTGATGGTGTTATGGGTTTGTTCATCTTCTAGTCCTGAAATGGGAAACATTCTCTTTAAAATTTTACAGTAAGTTTACAGGTGATGTCAGTAAGCTCATATACCATGCACTGCTTCTATGTGATATCCTGGCAAATGACGCCGCCAGTCATGGGGACACTCCAAAGTAATCCAGGTGATGCCCTAAGGGGAAATCCAAATTGAAATGAAGTCACCTAATTGTCCTCTGGATTTACTTTCTTTTACCACCAATAATTAACAAAAAACACTTAAGAACTTTGTTTTGATACTGGTATTTTTCAAGTAACATTTAAACAAAGGAGCAAAAAGTTTATCTGAAAAATTCCTTTGACACGTTCAGGAATCAAAGATTTTTTTTATGTTTAAATTATTTTTCTCAATCAGTGCTTATTTAGTGTTAAAAAACTTAGGCAGGGTTGTTTAATAAAAGTAAAAAGAAAGTACTGAAATAGTTTGCATAGCTTTAAAAGGTTTATTCCACCACAGAATTGGTACAGAGCTACTTTTCTTGACTCGCCATGTTTTTTTTTTCCTTTCTTTTTTATGTATGTAGTACAGAGTCTACAGGGTCTCACTACACAGATCGGACTCGTAGTGATCCTCTTGTTTTCAGTCTCCCAAGTGCTGAGATTACAGGCACACAGCACTACGCCCGGCTCAATTGTCGACTCAGCCTGCCCTGGGGAGGGGAGGGGAGGTGGGCGGACGGGCGGACGGGCTGCCACAGCATGCTGGGGATTGAACCCCAGGTCTTGCACCTAAGCATGTACTTTATCTGGCTGGCCCTTGCCATGTTTTCTGAGTCCACAAGATCTGCCTGACATTTCATTTCCTACTAAGCTAAAACATACAGTTACCACTTCAGCTGCTCTAGACAGAACCTTTACTTCCTCAATCATCTTTTCTTTTACTACTCTACCCTGGAGAGCTGCAGGCAGAGATAAATCTCACAATCTGACTGCGACTCCAAAATTTATGCATGTGTCCCTGCTTCTGTAACCTGGTGTACTGTCCAAGTCATTCTCTTTCTAGGACAATTCCTTTCCTTTCAGTCATTTGTATATTCAGTGAACACGCTGATCAGGATTTTGTACTCAGCAACAGGAATGCAGGAAAAATCCTTTGTTCTCAAGGTGCTCGGTCTAGCAGCAGAGATGAATAGTTACAGTCAGTGACAAACATTGTAAGAGACGCCTTTAGGACATCTGGCACACCAAGAAGAGTTCAGAATTAGGCGCAGGATATCAAGGCAGATTCGGGTAAGAGGCTGAAAGGATGAGTGAAGGGCCATGATAACAAATCAAAAGGAAATCCCAGGTAGAGGAAGCGACATGGGGAAAGGTCAGAACAATGCAGGTGAGGCTCAAGCTGGGAGCCCACAAGGGCTAGCCACAGGGCGCATGTGTGAGCATGGAGCCAGGAGGCTGGTGGCCCAGGGGCAGCTAATGTGCCCACAGAGTTTAACATACATTGTTCTAGAAGTTACAGGGGGCCAGGTCAGGATTTAAGGAGGATTAGGTGGAATTTCTTAGGTGGGTTCCTCGGGGTAAAAAGCACAAAAGCTGGGTATCAAGGCAGGAAGACCAGTTTGAAAACTTTTGTAATAATCCAGGTGAGCAGAAATGAGAGCCTAAAAAAAGGCAGAGGATGGAGAAGAAAGGGTTAGAGGAAAGGGAGGGAGAGAAAAGAGAGACGATGACCAGATTTTCAGGAAGTCTGTGTCTGGCACTGAGGGGGTGGGGGGAGCTGGCGTCATGGGGTACCCATGGCCTGGACTCAGCACAGGTCCAGCTCACCCTGCGTGCTTTCCCACAGGGTAACTAAGACAGACATGCACACACAGTTGAGGCAGCAAGTAACAGGTAAGTTGCCTCGAAGCAAAGTGTGGGATGGGAAAGGATTAGGTAAAAGAATTTAAAAAGGAGTAATGCATGGAGGTAAGCAGCGTATCAGAGATTTCCTGATTGGGGACAGGTTGGTATGAAAGACCCAGGTCAAAGAAATAGTAACGGGGTGTGCTCCATGTGGAAATGAGGCCAGTGGTGATTTAAGAACAAGTGTAGTGAGGGCCAGGTGAGGTGGCACACACCTGCAAACCCAGCGCTAAGGAGGCTGAGGCAAGAAGATCCCCAATCTCATAGTTACACAGTGAGATCCTGTCCCCCCAAAACAAACAAAAGTAACTATTATAATAAAACAGTGAGTGAGTGGTAAGAACAGTCTTACAAAATGGCTCTGAAAAGATGGTAGGCAACAAAAAGAGTGGGAGGGCAAGGGGACATGGGACAGGAAAGGGAAAGACACTCATGCTTTATCTCAAAACCCTTTATGCACTTACAAGTTACTGTGGATGCTATAGAGTTTTCGTTTCTTTCGGCAATGTCATTACAATAGAAATTAAGAAAAAAAAGTAAGAACATTAAAAATTACTAAATTTATTTAAAAGTAACAAATATCCATATTGGCATACACATTTAATAAAAATAAGTATTCCAAAGAAACAGGAAAGTGGCATTAACAGTTTCACAAATCTCCTTGGTGTTGAATGGAAGGAAAACAGCTAGCTGCTACTCATATCCGATCTGTATTCAATCCACTGTGCCATGGGGCTCTGGCTGATGCATATGAAGAAAATACAGCCTCGTACAGAGACATGGTGGAAAGGGAGCTTTTAAAGAGCTTTTTCATGAAGTGGTAACTCTTTTTCTGATACTAAGGTTGATAAGGAATGATTTTCTAACAAGTTGTAAGTTACCTGTTAGAATTCGAGGTTGTCTCAATGAATACTGCACATTAAAATACATTGCACTCAACAAATCTTTTACCCAGTAAATGAATTCACCCAGTAACAAATTTACCCAGTAAATGAATTACTCAACGAATTCAACTTTACGACCCGACTGACAGAGTCCCAGGACCTCAGTCATACCTGGAGACTTGTGGGAATAAAAGCTGACAGCTTCAAATGGGCAGCAAATACAGTATAGGTGGAAAGATCAGCTTCAAACTGAACTCTCCTTCTGGGGGCAAGGAGATAGCTCAGCAGGTCTAAGTGCTTTGCCGGCAAGCGCGAGGACCCAGGTTCGATCTCTGTACTGCCTAACTTGCCAGTTTTGCCAGTCATGCAGGCCCTGTCCCAGCCCCACTTAGGGCCACTAGGGCATATGCCTGTAATCCCAGTGCTGGGGAGGCTGAAACAAGAGGATCACTATGAGTCCGAGCTGCATAGCAGACTCTCTACCAATACTTAAATTAAAAACAAAACAAAACAAACTCTCCTGAACCCAGAAAAGCAGAGGTCTCCATACAGACATATCTGAAGGAAAATGAGAATTCTCATAGGGGCTACTTTTTCTGGAAGAGCGTGTAGTTGTCCAGGGCAAAGTTAAAGAACTGCCCAAGCAACTCATGGCTCAGCTGGAAAGAGCTGTTGTAACAACTATATGTTACTGTTCATGCTTTTTGCCTTCTCTGCCGGGTGCTCTCCTGAACAGGGGACTCAACAGAATTGACTTCAGTGACCACGCAAAACATATGTGTAGAATCAAAGTCTGAGTTTTATTTTTAATTTTATTTATTCATTTGGCACAAGGTGTCACTATGCGGCCTCATAGTGATCCTCCTGTCTCAGTGTCCCCAGCACTGGGATTACAGGCATGCGCCACCAGGCCTGATTTTGGGGCCAGCATGGCATGCAGCCCTGGGGATCAAACTCGGGACCTTGTGCTAGCCAGGCAGGCACTTAGACAACTGGACTATCTCCTCAGCCTCAAAAGTCTGATTTTTTTTAAAAAAATCTTCTTTTCCTATTCATCTTGCAGTTATTTCTTTAAGTTATTTCTTATTGATCCAGATTTTGTCTTCTGTGATAAGTACAATTCAACTGACAAAGCTAGTAAAGGAAGAACTGCTCACTAACCCTAAAAAGCATAGCTAAAATGCAGGGAACAGAGCATCTTTCAAAAGGCCAGGCAGATGGCTCAGTAGAATAAGTGCTTCCCTGGCAAGCGCAAGGGCCTGAGTTCAATCCCCAGTTCTGCCAAAAAAATAAACAAATAAAATAAATAGAACAAAATAAAAAGGCCATTTAGGGTCAGGGATAAAACTGTAAAGCTCTTGACACCCAGACTTGTAGCAGAGGTGATGGTGTAGGAATACTAGGAAAAGGAAAACCTTGCGAAAACTGTTATACATATATGCTCAGAAGTTCCAAATTTCAGAACTTAAAATTTAACCTTAAACACATCCATACACTATTTCTGCCCACATATCTGGGAAAATGTAAACCACAATATTAACTGTGTGTGTGTGTGTGTGTGTGTGTGTGTGTATGCAGGCGTGCACAAGTGCCTCTGAAGCTTGAACCCTGGCCTCCTGCAGGCCTGGCACTCTTCCAGGGTCCAGCTCCAGCAATTGTATTTATCACTTGCCGATGCTCTTTTTTAGTGGTTTTTACTTTGCTTTTCTGCATTATCCGTAATAAAAACAGACTATGCAGAAAAACTAAAGTGTCACTTTTTCAAACAATGTAAGATTGGCTTTGGAACACTGAAGATTAATATAGAACAGGATACACCAATGGTAAGTATCTTTGTGCTTGTTTTCTCACACCATTACTTTTCACAGTAAAGGAAACCCACTCATTTTCAAATAAGATGATTGAGACAAGCACACAAGGTGAGGCACAACTGGGAAGCGTACTAAAATCAGTGTTTGCTTAGAGATCCCAAATGCCTTTGCACTCGTATTCCTGTTTTCAAGTAGACAAAGCGCTATCCCTAAGTAGGCGTTCAAACACTCTTGTCAAAAAAATCGAGTTTCAGGACTCTGCTTCATTAGCACTCTGATCACAGGGAGGTACTCCATGAATACAGAGGGAGGATGAGGTGGCTGGGCCCAGCTTTATTGTGGCCGACTGTGGCCCAGGCCATTACACCATTTCTCTGGAGCTTGGTTTTTGATCTGCAAAACAGATGCTTAGACTTAAGAATTACTTTCTGAATCAAAATCAACAAGTGTGAAAGGCCTAATCTTGTCACATTAGTCTCAAAGGGAAACAATTATTTTACGGTATGTTATGCCTTTTAATTATTTATGTATCTATTTGGTTTTTTTGAAACAGGGTCTCACTGTGTACTTCAGGCTGCTCTTGAACTACGTAGCCCAGGCTGGCCTTGAACTCATGCCGATCCTTCTGCCTCAGCATCTGGAGTACTGAGATTACTGGTGTGCCTCACCATGCCCTGTTATAGTACGTTATTCTTATAAATATTTCAAAACGCAAATGTGTTTAAGCTTAATTTTCAAAATAGTGAAGGGCTATTTGTAGGATACAAACAAGAAATTGAGAATATAGCTAAGTTTTTCAGATGTGAGTCTTGCTTTATCAAGCACAGTACTTTTAATATATATATATAGCCTTTCTAGAGTAATCAGTTTCATGCATTTTTAGCAAAACATACACATGACCATTTATTTCTGAACAAATAGTATCCTGGTCACGTTCAAAAGCAGATACCTTCCAAACCTATTAAATTCTACAGAGCTGCTCCCTTTGCAACTGAATTATGTCACTGGTGTGCCACAAGTTAAGCACATATCTTTCATGAACACTGAGGTATGTCAGGGGTAAATAATTAAAAGTGCTTTTGACATATCCACTTGAGGGCCTAGTTTGTGCTTCCCATTAATCCAGGCGGCAGCAGCACAGGGAAGCGGGCCACTTCTCCTAGGACCTTAGAGCCTTTGTACTGACTTCATCTCTGAGCCAGATAAAAGCCTGGAAGTTTCCGGGGGTGCAGGCATGCTCTGTCCTCGTGTTCTAAGACTGCTGACACTAGAGGATGCTGGCGCAGGGGCAGAGAAGAGGCCGATCAGGAGTCCCCGCGCGGCAGCGAAGGCGCACAAGTCCCACCCAGGAGCTAGCCAGTCCGAGGCAGAGCCAGAGGCAGCCTGCCGCGGGCGCACAGACTGAGGACAGCCCCAAGGCTGTGGCCTCCAAGTTTCCTGACACCGACTGTGTGAAGACTGAAAGGACGAGCTGGAACGGGTAGCAACCAATCTTCCACGAGTGTTCAGCATGCGAACAGGAGAGTGAAAGAAATCTGAACCTTCCCACAGACTTCCTCCAGAACCGGCCCCAGAACGGGAAGAGGCACATTCTCACATCCTCCCCAGAGCTCGGGCAGCCGCGGCTCTGCCGCGCGGGTCCGTCGGACTCTTTCCAACCCGCCGAAGGCGCCGTCACAGGGCCTCCTTTCCGTCCCTCATCCCCCGCGGCTCCTTCCGGGTTCCCGGGGCGGCGCCGGCCGCAGCCCGCGGAGCACGCCCGACGCCTGACGCCCGACGCCCGCAGGGGGGTCCGCAGGGGGGGTCCGCGCGGGCTACAGAGCGCGGCGACGCCCTGCCGCGGGTCCGCCCGGCCGCCGGGTCCCACCCGTACATCCTACCTCGGGGCCGCCGGGCAACCCTCTTCCTCTCCGAGTCTCCTCAAAGTGCTGGCCGGGCGACTCACGTTCTGCAGCGCCCGGAGACCCCCTGGGGCGGAGGCCGGAGCACGCGGCCGGACGCCCCCGCGCCTTACCTGAGGCGAGACCCGCGCAGGGCGGGGCGCTGGCGGCGGAGCGAGGCCCGAGTCCGCAACCCCAGGAAGTACGCGGGGGCGGGGCCCAGAGGGGGCGGGGCCATTCCGGAAGGCTCCGCCCCCAGCCCGCCCCAAGAGAAGCTCCGGCCCTGGTGCACGGCCCTTTAATTCGGCCCCTGTCGGAGGCTGAAAAATGTTATGGCTTCCGGGCATGCGCAGTGCGCAGTGCTGGGGACCACTCCACCTGGACGCGAGGTAGTCTCCGCGAGCCGCCAGCTCTGCGCGGGGTTGCGCTGTGTTGGGCCCGCGCCCGGCTCAGCCTTAGGGGGGGCCTCCCGCTTCCCCCCAGAGGCGGGCAACGTGGGCGAGGACCGCGCCCGGGACGGGCGGGTGGGGCAGGGAGAGGGCGCGCCCCATCTTGGTTCTACGAATGGCCGGGGAGACGCGAAGGAAACGCCGCGGCCTCCTTCCGCCTCTGCCGTACGGAGACCCGGCCGGGGCTGTCCACGGGCGCCCCCGCTCCCGGCCGGCGTCCCCGCGCCCCCTGCACTTCCGGCCCGCTGCCCCGGCCGCCAGGCCGCGCCTCCCGCGTGGTCCCGCGCTCCCCAGCTGTCCTGCCCGCTTCCCTTCTCTGTATTTTTTCCCCAGGGGTAAGGTACGGATCGCTGCTCTTCCAGGGCCGCGCCCCGCAGCGGTGGTGTGATTCTCGACTGCTCCAACTCTTGGGCGGATGCAGCCCGTCGATCGTGCTAGAAAGGCGTCCCGCGCGATCGTGCCCCGTGTCCCCCCGCGGATCGCGCCGCTTCTGCGCGCCGGCCGTGGGTGGGCGTGCTCGCCGGGCTGGCCAGCCCGCCCTCCCCACCAGCCCTATCGGAGCTGCCTTGAACACGCTGCAGAGTTGCACATTTTGTTGCACCGACTTGTGACTTCTCCGCCCTGTTTCTCTTGACGTCGTTAAAGATTCAGATGAAGTCTTAGTCACTGTCCTCATAACTGGGACAAAATACCCAACACCAGTGATATAAAGGCGGGGAGGTTTATGGTGGGGCTCCTAGTTTGCAGAGGTGTTTGTCTGTGGCAAGCTGGCCCCAGGGCAGGGCAGCAAGGCAGAAGAGAGCTGCGCAGAAATACTTAGGAGATGGTGTCCAGGAAACGGAGAAAGGGGTAGGGGAGGGAGGTGAACCCTTCCAGGCTACTGATCCCGTGACCTATCTTATCCCACCAGACCCCACCACCCAATAGCAGAATCTATGTTTGTTTGTTCGCTTTTGTACCGAGAATCGAATTCAGGACGTGGCATTTGCTAGTCAGGCACTGTGCCTCTGAGCTATGCCTGCTCCCCCATCTCCTAATAGCAAGTTAGCTGTAATCCAGTCACCTCCACAGCCTCACCTGTGAGCACCACCTCGAGGGAAGTATAGATGTAAATCATAACAGATGGCCACCTCTTGCACTGCTCCTTTCCTGATTATCATAGAGGAAAGTAATCCCATTTTCCTCTTTATTTACTCTTAAGGCTCGTGTTTTCTACTAGTTGATTGATTGTACAGCGGTCAGTATTGACTGCAGCCCTTCTGTGATCTTGACACTGTGAGCTCATCATTAGAAAGGCCGATAACTTTCCTCCTGCTCATGGGGACATTAGCTTTGGGGGGGGGGGATAGTAAATAATACAGAAAAATAGTTGCTAGAAATAGTGTGCAAAAAAAAAATTGAATAGGGTTTTGTGAAAGAATGGCTTGCAGTTCCCATAGATTATTCATCAAGGAACTTTCTGGGAATATGAATACTGAAAGATGCAGCTATGGAATGGAAGAAGGAACAATTGAAGTAGCAGAGAGCATGAATGTGATAAAAAGGACCAGTTAGCAGGTTAATGGGTTAAAGGTACAAGATGAATTTGGAGAATGGACCGGATCCAGAACCTTAGGTGTCTGGAATTCAGGGATGATAATTTGGCTGTATAGTAAGTGTGGTTATAGGGTTTTTAATATTGGAATATAATTCATTATTTAAAGCAATACTCTGGCTGCTATGCAGCGAATGGACCTTAGAGGCCAAGATGTAGGAGTAAGGATTAGAGACCTTCATAATGTCTAAAGGTTTTTGGAATGGGCTATACAAGTAGGGCTCATGGAAGGACAGAGGGAGTGACTAGGAGTCACGTATTTAGCGTTGTTGGTTTTTGGCGATAAGAAACTCGTTATGTCTGTAAGAGCAGAGACCCAAAGTGCAGTGGAGGAGGCAGAGGAGGATGAGGATGACAACCTGAGGAGCCAGGGTGCTGGGGGATGCTTCCTGAGGGATCAGGGAGTCGTGCTTGCTGAGAAGGTGGTGAGCCATGCGACCTCAGTGGATGAAGAGGAGTCTTCAGGGATCCGTGAGGGTGACAGCGAGTGGTAAAGTCTGGTGATGTGGTCTGCAAAGACATTGGGATTTTTGGAGGTAGAAGACAAAGCAATGGTTTGGAAAGATCAGTGACAAATAGAAAACATTTGTAACTTTCTAGACCTAAAGTTTGCTTAGTGTGAAAGAAAAAACAGCCTTCAGTTGGGAGGACTACTGAAGCAGTCTGGGGAAAGAGCCACGTTTTGATTAGGACAAGAAACACGACTGTTCAGGCAATTATGGAAAATAAACACACCTTTCTTTCTATTTGTTTTTCCTAGAAGTTTAAACTCTAGAGAATTTGCTCTGATGTTTACATGATGGTGGAAAGGGTCAGAAAGGGAAGTAGTTTGCTAAATTGGGTCAGGTAGTGGAATTGTTGTGGCAGTGGAATGAAGGCCATCTGATGATCAGTGTCCTGGAGCGTGTGGCTGCCACAGATAACTGTGAGGCTGTGGGCACTTTATTTTTCCTACAGCTCCATGTGGTACAGTAATGATGGGCTGTGTGTCAGTGACTGAAGGCTTTCTCAGAAAACTGCTCTCTCTGGTCTACTGCCCAAGAAAACCCTATAAGGGTTTCTTCTCTCTGATGCTAATAATATGGCTAGAGATTTCCTCTGGATCAATTTAAGAAATCCGTATTTGGTGGGGCTGTAGAGAAGGCTTACGCTCCAGGGCTAATCTAAACCTGCCTTGAAATATAAAAAGATTGTAAGTTGCTAAGTAACAGCTTCACTTACTAGTTTACTTTCCTGTCTTATTGTATCCTCTCATGGCCTAACCTCTAATATGTAAGCATCTGGCTAGAATTTCTAGGGAATTAGTGGAAACTGTAAGCTCCGGTGATGCAACCACACAAGTCATTGTGAAGTAGTCCTGTTCTTGCCTCTTCTTTATGGGCCTACAAATATTATTTTTAAGATAAACTTGAAATTGGTCCAAGCCTGGTAGCAGCCTGGGATGAATGAAAAATCAACTCATAAATCACTAGTTATACTAAACTAGTTTCCTGTGTACCTCCAGCTTGGTATAGGGAGGTCAAAGTACATATGATACACAGATCTAAATTACTGATATCATTTATGAGAACTTAGTATTAAAAGGGAGACTACTAAGTAAATCCTGCAAACCAATTTTGCTGTTATTACTTGCAACTTTTCTTTCTGGTAACTGCCTGACTTTGTTTCTTTTGTAGGCATTTCTATTAGAATGGAAGAGGATACAGATTATAGAATCCAGTTTAGTTCTTTGTGTTTTGTTAATGAGCATGTTGGATTTCAGGGTACTATAAAAAACTCACCAAGTGACTTTATTGTTATTGAGATTAATGAACAGGGACAGTTAGTTAATAAAACCATTGATGAACCTGTTTCAGTTAGTAAAATGCTACCAGGGCTAAATACTTTTGCCAAAAAGCCAAAACTAGATCTTCAAAATGTGTCCTTCAAAGATAGAAGTAACCACGAAGTTAACACTGAGGCTGTTTGCTCTAATGGTGACCAGAAACATCGCTTGGATTCAGAAAAACACGGCACTACTGATGGCAGGACTTCCCCACAAGAAGAAGAAAAAGCTGATGTATTAAGCTCATTTTTAGACGAAAAAACAAATGCATCTCTGAATCAGTTTGCCTGTCATATAAAAGAGAAGTGGAATTCAGAAACTGATCTGCTGACACCAGGCCCTGAATTTTCATTAGGCACAATTCCTGACAAAAGCCAGAGGGCTACTTTACATAGTGCGATTAGGCAGAACTTTCCTTGTTTAATAACTGTGGGAAAAAACAGTGAAATTGTTGTAAAACCAAATCTTGAGTATAAAGAACTCTGTCACTTGGTGTCTGAAGAAGAAGCCCGGGATTTTTTTAAGTTCTTAGATGCTAAGAAAGAAAATTCCAAATTTACTTTTAAACCCGATACAAACAAAGACCACAGAAGAGCTGTCCACCATTTTGTCAACAAGAAGTTTGGAAACCTTGTAGAAACCAAATCTTTCCCTGAATGGAATTGCACCACTAGTAATCCGAACACAGTGATAACGGTAAGATTTCGGGAAAAAGCACACAAGCGTGGAAAAAGGCCTCTTGCTGAATGCCCAGAAGGAAAAACCATACACACAGGTAATTTAATAAAATACCATCATTTTCTTAGTTAAATTTAAAGTTGAGTGGAAACTGAATAAATAATTTGAACAGACTTGAGCAGAGAGGCTTTGGAAAGAATGTATGATCTGTTACTTAATCACACATAAAGCCTTTCAAGTTATGCTGAATGTAATAGTTAGGCTTATTGATGGAAAAATGAGTAAAATAGACATTCACAGTCAGCATCGTTACCACCATCAGGTTAAAAGTTATTGTGGGCTTAGCGTTATTGATAGTAAATTATGATTTCTTGGTTTGAAAGTCATCTTAATTAAAACTAAGTATTGTTACATATGTTTGCTATGCTCCTTAAAATAAAAAGAGTATTTGCAAAGCAGATTTCCTTACCTGCAGTATACTGAAAACTTGGCTCTGTTATTCTGCCCCAAGATGTGCTCAAACTTCAGCATGCAGTATAATCTTATAAGAGTTCCATTAAAGGAGCTTTTCAAAATGTAATTCCCAGTTTCTAATTTGGAAGAACTAAGTGGGGTTAATACAAATTCCCTGGTGCCGCTTTCCTGCTGATTTGGGGAGTATTTTCTGAGAAGTACTGTTTTGAGGGATATGTGTAATTCCTGTGATGGATAAAACCAGTGAAATCTAGCCTCACAGATCCAGAGCCTAACTTCCTTGGAGGATAGACTGTGTTTACAGATTTGTTTAGCAAGTCAATTGAAAGAAAAGTAGCAGCCCAGGTTGTACATCTGTGGATGGCACCGAAGTGCTGGGACCGTGGGGCACAAGTGGGGAGTCGGGGCCTCAAGGGCCTCAAGGTGCGCGGCTTTGAATGTACACTGTGGCTTCAGTTTACAAAGGTTTCTGAAAATTTAGGTCTAAGCTTAATTTCCACAAATATAAAAACAAGAATAACACTGTATGCAAGAATGCAATTGAAATGTAGCAACAGGCTTTTTTTTTTTTGATAGTGCAGGATTATTTTTGTTGCAGCTTTTACATTGCGAAAGGAAAATCTGGAGATGTTTGAAGCTGTTGGCATCTTAGCTATCAAGCTTGGTGTGATTCCTTCCGATTTTAGTTACGCAGGCCTCAAAGACAAGAAAGCCATCACCTACCAGGCAATGACTGTTAGGAAAGTGACTCCAGAGAGGTAATAAGGTATTGCTTTATAAGATAGATGTTTCCTTTTATATTGCATCAAATAAATGTATGATTAAAAATTCAAAATTAGCATATTAACTTCAGTATCAGTATTCATTATTTGAGTATAGGTCACCAGTACATTTTTAGATTGTTATAGTTGGCTGGTAGAGTTACATCTTTTGTTTGTATTGAAAATAGGAAATGCTAGGATAAAAACTAAGAAGTGAGAAATTTTTAAAATGTCTAAATTTTTCTAAACATCTTGTACCATATTTAAGCATTTATATTCACGACAATGTCTTATAAGTCATTTTTTCTTAATCGCTACAATACTTCTATATGGTTTATTGCATTTAAACTATATCCTTGTTAAATAGAGTATACTCAGATTTTGCTTCCCTTCAATTTAGTAGTTTTAAAAAAAAATTTGTAGTAAAAATATTTTTGTAAAACATATATTCAAAGTAGATGATTTAGAAAGTAGAAACAAATATCAAAAAAATTAAGTCACTAATGATTCTACTCCTCAAAAATGACTGCAGTAAACATTTGGATTGGGGATATAGCTTAGTGGCACAAGTGTCTGTCTGGCAAGTGCAGGGTCCTGAGTTTGATCCTGGTACCAAAAAAAAAAAAATTAAATCATTTAAAAAACCAAAATAACATTTTGATTTATTTATTTTAAGGTATTTTTCAGAGATTGTGCCATATGTACATATCACATATACATATATGAAAATTATGTTGCACATGCAGTTCATGTTTTATAAAACAATATAATATGAAAATATATCATAAAGCATTGCAAAATCATGCCATAGTGAAGGCTTATTCAATAGTTATCTATTTTTGGAAATAGGAACTCTTCCAGTTTTCACTGTAAATAATATTGTGGTTCATATTCTTTTTTTTTTTTTTTTTTTTTTTGGCGGAACCAGGGATTGAACTCAGGCCCTCGCGCTTGCCAGGGAAGCACTTATTCCACTGAGCCATCTCCACGGCCCCCG